GAAATATAGTGCAGGTCTGTAATATAAGGAATAATGCCCTCACTAGTCTATTAAGGAAAGTATTTGGTGAGCCTTAAAGTGCTATATGATAGTAAGTTATTTTCATTATTATTATTATTATTAATTCTGCTTATAAAAGTTAAATCTTTGAACTCCTAATGGACCTAAGTGAGAAATGCACTGTCAATAAAAATTCAAACTCTTTAAAAGATAAATAAATAGTATAATAAAATTCTCAACAAAGAATAAAATTCTCAATGAGAATATTCATTATTTTTTAAAAAGATTGGTTTAACACTTTCTGATTAGTGATATGTCACAATATGCTGAAAGTGAACTGAGTGAGGGAACCACTGTCAGCCCTTCCAAATTATGGAATCCCTCAAGTATTAGATTAGATAAAGTATTATTAAATTTCAATTAGTGGTAAGCACTGAACTAAACCCAGGGAATAAAAAGGTAAGCACAAAGAAACAGTCTGCTCTCAAGGAGCTTACATTCTAATGGGAGAAGATAATTCATAAAAGGGAGCTAGAAGGACAGGGATTAGTCTAGAAAGTCAGGGAAAGAGCTGAGTTAGAAGCGAGCATGTCCAGTCTGGATACTTCCTCAAATGGAGGTTCTGAGAGGAATTCACCAGTTAGAATACATATGACAAGTGATGGATGGAGTGAGGATGTTAATGTCAATCTACATATAAAATATTAGTAAACCTTAATTTATTTCTTATATTTATTTTTCACTAGCATTTCCAACTTATTTTTCCTAAATGCATACAAGCACTAATTAGATATTGCTTTTGTCATATCCACTTAATCAGCAACCCCAGATTTGCTGTAAACAAACATTGTTGACTGGGAAAAACCTGAATCTTACTGTTGGAAGCAAAGGATATGTGGCGCAATAGTCCACTTGCCTAAGGAAATAGGGTTATTAGAATTCTAAGACAGAAGGATCGGAATAAGCCTCTTTAATTGATTTTGTAACTGTTATCTGAAATATGGAGGGTTACTGCAGCAACCATACCAAGAACACTGATTTGGGTGTGGATCCAAGATTTGGAGTCAGTTTCAATCCTGGTTCTTCTACTTTTAACTTGTATGGCCATGAGCAAGTCACTAATCTATCTAAGTCTAGATCTACTTTCAACCTGTGTGGCCATGAACAAGTCACTAACCTATCTAAGCCTAGATCTCCTCCTCTATAAAATGAGGGAGTTGGGACAAATAGGTTCTAAGGTTCCTTCCAGTTTTAAATCTGTAATCCCTATCATCCTCAGCTCTTCCTTGTGTATCTCCCTCTTTAACTATAAGTAATAAGGTAACCACAGTTCAGGCTATTTTTTTTTCCTTTAGGAAATCATGCTTTCCATCCAGTCTTCAGGCTTTTCCTTTGTAAATGTCATCCCATTGTGTTTAATTGGAAGGGAGGAGAAATTTGATTCTCCCCTCTCCCAATTTATGTATCAGAGGAATTACTTATAGATGATATAGTCCAACAGATTATGGTAACAAAGGGTTAACAGTGATCCCGTTACAAAGTATGAACGATTCTCTCTGAGTTAGAATGGACAATATGGTAGGCTGGGCTGAAAACTGGCTGTGCTTGGGGGACTTTAAGCCTTGCAGATAGCTAGCATTTGGAGAGTTTAGCAGTTTGGTGGAGTTGAAGAAGCAGCCAGCAGTTGGGGAAGAACCAAGCTCTTCACTTCTTGGGGGGAGGGGAGAGCAGGGGAAGATTTTCTTCTCCTCTTCCTTCCATCGATGAACCATGATATCTAGCAGCAGGAAGGAACATTATGAGAATTCCAAAGACGAAAGAGAATGCTAAGGTCCTGCAGTTCTGGAGATTCGAATTGCCTTGGCCACATCTGTTTTCTACCTGTGTGCCTCACTCTGTTGTATTCAAGGTTTGTGACTATTCTTCTCATGAACACTGAAAGTAGTATGGGATTGTGCTCCCCAAGTTTCTGGGGAAAATGTTTTATAGCTATAGTTTTTATCATACCACCTTAGTAAATGCCATTGCTTTGAGCTAATTGTGTCTTTTGACTGACTAGTGATGAGAAATACACCAGTGGTAATGCACATGAGCTCTAATACAAACAGTTCAAGACAACATGGATGATACAGGAAGAAGAGAGAAACTCTCATCTCCTATCTTTTCTTCCTCCTCTCCACCTCCTCCCTCCCCATGCCCCAACCTTCAGCCCAGGCGCTTTCCTTTGGTATAGGCACAGAGTATCATCTCTGAACTTGGAATGATTCCAGTTGATGAACTCAAATTGTTCAACTGTTGAAGGACCTTCTGGGGATGGCCATAGACAATCTTTTTCCAACCGTTGTTTTGGGAAAAGGGTCCTGGCCCTTCTAATTCCATTAAGGATTTATTTTTCACATTTCAAAAAGTTAACATGTAACACTCATACAGAACTAAGGTTACAAGGATCCCTGTACATAAGGATCCCTGTGGGGAGTATCTTGACTTAGAAAACCATATGTTAACTTTATCTATGTTTTACTGTATTTTTATTTATTTTGTTAAATATTTCCCAATTACATTTTAATGTAGTTCAGGCCACACTCCCCACTGTGTGTTTGACATCTCTGCTGAAGTACAGGAAGTATAAGCTGTTTTTCTATGTGTGTTCTTGGTGTAGGAGGCCCTTTTGCTCAGTCTCTATGCTTGTTCACTCTCCAATTTGATGGTATGTATATTAAGAAATTGTGCTTAGGTATCTTAGAAAAGTACTCTATTATAAATCTCTTTACTATGGTATTCCAGAAAAACCTCTGAGCTAATTGTATCTCCTGGCAAACTGTTGAAAGGTAAACAGAGAGGTAGGGGCTTGCAAGCAATAGTTTTAGCTTAGTTTAGACCTGCAGAATACCTTGAAACTGAAGGAGGAGAGGGAAAACGGCTTTCCCTAGGTAAGATGAGTTAGAAGGGTTGCTACCTGGGCACTAGTGTATTAACTAATAACTTAAATTTAAATAGTATTTTAGCATGTTTAATTTTTGTCTTTCTATTTGTAGCATCTAGCAATGTGCCCAATACATTTTGGTTTGGGGACTGGACCTGTGATTTCAATGATACAGGAAACTCCCAATGAGGAAATTCTTTCTAACTATGCAGATCAGAAAATGCTGCATAACTTAGAGACTTAGAGAATTGCCTGGAGGGGCCCATACAGGTTGAATGGCTTGCCTAGGGTCACACACACAATTTATGTCAGAAGGGACATTTTCTTCCTAGAATTTCAAGGATGTTTAATAAATTCTTGTTGAATCAATGAATGAATGGGTGGACGAATTTCATTTGATCCTCACAACAACCTGTATGATAGGTGCTATCATTATTTTAATTTTACACTAAAAAATGAAATCAAGAGGTTAAATGACTTGCCCAGCCAACAGAGTAAGGCTGCAAACAAAATCCTATGGAGGGAAGGGAAAGAGGGAGGGAGGGAATTTGAAACTCAAAATTTGAAGAAAAAATGTTAAAATTGTTTTTTATGGAATTGGGGGAAAATAAAATATTAAATTAAAAAAACACACAAAAAAACAAATTCCTGAAGAATGCCTACATGTTAGAAACAAAAGGAGGAATGGTAAAGGAGACTCCTATGTGCCACTTGACGAAAATACAAAGACAAAATGATAGAACTCTTAAGAGGAAATCTACTTGTCTGGTGTTATCCATGAGAAGATCCAGTGTCTTGTTTGTGGAACAGACAGGAGGTAAATGTCACTGGATTGAAGAGTACATGATGAGCACCAAGATGTAATAAGAATGGAAAAGTAGAAAAGGGCTAGATTGTGAAAGGTTTTGAACACCAGCTGGAAAATTTTGGATTTGCTCCTGGAGGCAACAGGGAACCACTTGAGTTTCTTGAGTAGCTGACAGACATAGTTGTACCTGTGGCTAGGAAGATCACTTTGGTGGCTGAATAGAGGATGGACTGGAGTGGGGAGAGAGTTGAGGAAGGCACGCCCACCAGAAGGCTTCTGCACGAGACCCTGCACTAGAGTGGTGACAGTGTTAGAGGACTTTGTTGCCAGATGTTGCAAGGTGAAATCGGCAAACAGATTGGATATTGGAGGTGAGAGACGGTGAGGAGTCAAGGATGGCTCTTAGATTATGAGCCTGAGTGACGGGGAGAATGATGTTGCCCTCCATACTAATAGGGAAGATAGGAGAGGGGAACGACTTAGGAGAAAAGATGTTAAGTTTTGTTTTGGACATGTTGGGTTTAGGATGTTTACTGGACATCCAGTTTGAGATATGAGATTGAACGGCATCAGAGAGACTGGGGCAGGACAGGGGGATGTGAGAATTATCAGCACAGAAATGGCAATTTAATTAATGGAGTAGATGAGATCATCATAGAGGGAGAAGAGAAAAGGTCCCAGGGCAGAACCTTAAGGGACACCTAGGTTAGTGCATGAACTGGATAAGATTCAAAGAACAGCAAAAGAGGCCTGCATATTTAATTATGTATTATTAGGTAGTTTTTTGGTTTTTTTTTTTTTATTAACATGATAGTAACAAAACAGCCCTGCAACGTCTCCTTTGGAACTCTTCCTTCTTCTTGTTCCTTTTTAAAACGTTTCACCGATATTTTCTTTTCTTTTTCATTAGCATCAGCATCCTCCCACTCCCTATCCGTCAAGCAAAGCAAATTCGCCCACTGGTCTTGTGGGAAGACCCAAGGTCTCAGACTGGACTTTTAGTTAGGAATAGTTTCCTCCATCCTTTCTCCTTGGCCACCAATGAAGATAAACTCCAGCCATGCCTCCAAGTCCCGGGCGGTTTACTGAGCATGTGCGGAGACGTACGCATGCCCAGTAACCTTTGCGAATGCCTGGCAAGACTCAGCCGTGGCGGGGCGGGGCTCTCTCCCTGCCTAAGGGCTCAGGCGCTCTGTGCTGCCGTCAAGTAAGCCTGAAGCGAGGGCAAGGGTGAGTCGCAAAAGGTCGCAGTGTGGTGGTTCCCGGCAGGCTCCAGGGCGGAGCTGAGTCAGAGATGTCGGCCGCCGCTGGCGGGGAAGCCCCCGGGCCACCGAGCGGCTTCGCCAAACGAGTCCTGGTCACGGGCGGTGCCGGCTTCATGTAGGTATCAGTGACTCTGTCCTCAGGGGATTAGCGGGGTGATGGCTCCTCTGCTTTGCGGCCCGGGAGGAGGATGGGCGAGGGCCCCGCCCCCTATTTGTCTGGGCTGGGAAACTGCCTTGTCTAGGCATCCGAGGTCAGGGTCTGGAAGGGTCTAGTGCTGAGCTCATCGGCCGTCTCAGCGAGATGTTCTGAGTGAGTGAGTGCGTGAGTGAGTGGGAGAGAGAGATCTTCTTTTCTTTTCTTCTCTCTCATTTTTAACCGCTTCAGAATCCTCTAAAACTTAGATCTTGCTTGGGAATATCGTAGGCATCGAATCAAGGATGATTGCATCAAACCCAATTCAATTCAGCAAGCATTTATTGCCTCCTGTGTGTAGAATGTATCTAGAAAGAGATGCAAAGTGTAAATAAGGCAGAATTCTGTAGTTGATTTTACAATTTAAAATGAAGATATGACTAGTAACAGCACCTGTAATTCATGAGAATTCAGTAATAACTTACATTCAAGAGAAACAAAAAGTGCTTTGAGTGTGCGTCAGTCATGGAAAGCTTGATTGGGAGGGTGGTAAATGAAGGTGGGTAGGAATTCAACAGGAAATCGAGAGGAGGGAGGACGTTATAGACAAGTTGTCTTTATTTTTTAAAAATAAGTTTTATCTGATATTTTTTGTTCTTATATTGCCAAATTTCCCCCTTGTGTTTTTCTCCCCCCTTCCCAGAGAGCCATCCTATATAATAAAGATGTTTTTTTAAAGAAAAAGAGAAGGAAAAAAACTCAGCAAAATTTAACATTACATTAAATAGGAAAAAAAAAACCCAACCCTGACAATACATGCAATGCTTAACACCTATGAATATCCCACTTCTGCAGAGGAGTAAGTAGAGTTAGATATCTTCCATATTTCTTCTTTGGGACCATGCTTGGTTTTTTTTTTGTAGTTAGTAATTTGTCTTTAAACAGTTTTCCAAGTTTGATATAGTCCAGGACCAACTTGGGAATAATAATGACAATTATTATTTATGTAGTAAAGTATGGTTTGCAAAGCATATTATATATGTCCTCTTTTTTTTTTAAAGTAGATATCCTCATTTTGCAGATGAAGAAATTGAGATTCGTAGAGGTTGTGACTTTCTCATAGCTAGTAAGTGCCTAGTAGGATTTGAACTCAAGGCTTTCTTTCTCAAGATCCAGCATTTTATTCACATCATCAGGCTACCTTCTATCTGCAAGCTAGAAAGAGAGTTGGACTAAGTAGAAGTAAGCCTACTTTTATTCCTGCCTCCAATACTGACTGACTAGTTGTGTGGACATATTCAAATAACAGTCTGTCTGGGTAAAGTTCTCTCTGTAGTATGAGGGAGTTGATAAGATGAGTGCAGAGGTTCCTTCTTATTTTATAATTCTTTTTATTTTCAACCATTGAACCAGAGTTTCTAAGTCACTGGATCAGTTTTTGGGCTTAAGACCCTTAGGCTGATTTGGTAGCTGTAGTCATTTACCTGATACTGTAGCACTCATCCCTGGAACTTGGTAAATGACAGTGATTTCCTAGTATTTGAGTCAGTGATATAATTTGGTATAGCTCAAAGCCTTCATAATAGGCCTGCGAATTAGCTACTGCAAGTATTATCTTCCCCAGTGAGGGAATAAATGAGGAAGTAAATGTTTAACTTTTTACAATTATAAGTTCAGATGAATCAATAATCAATTCTACATACTACTGTAATAATCAATAATTAGACCCTAATTTGTGAGTTGTAAAAGGGAAAACGCCTACTTTCATGTTAAGTGTTTTATCTTTTGTTATTGTTTTATGTGTTTTCTTACTTTAAAAATCAGGTTAATTCATTTGTTTTTCCCTTTTTGCCATTTCTGAAGAAGTTGGCTCCTTTTATTCGAAGAACATTACCATATAAAATGGTCTAGTAATAGTACTTTACATATATGTTTATCACTTGATTAATTTAAAAGCACTTTCACATAAGAGGCATAACTATAAAGTAATGGCTGATTCCCATAAGCCACACATGAAAAACAGTTTCATTACTTCATGATACTTGCGTATCATTTCATCTGATCCTCTTACTAGCTCTGTGAAATAGGACAGATTTAATAGGATATTTAATCTGGCAGTAGTAGGTAAAATGGCATGGAGGTAGCATGGAACGCGTTAGGTTTTTGCAATAGCCTCTAATGAGACAATGGGAATGGAAAGAAGAGATTTTGTGATGAAGAAGTAGAATCCTCAGGTCTTGATATTCTCTATATGTGAGTAGTAAAGGAGACAGTGATAGTGAAGGTAACTTGGGGAAAGTTGGTACAGTTGATAGAAGTAAACAAGTCAGGAGGACATCATTCTGGGACAAGAAAATCAGTGCTTTGTAACAATCTGTTTGAGATGCATGTGGAACATGTAAGTGGAAGTGTTCCTTATCAAGTTAATTGCTGTTTTGGAGCTTTGGAGAAAAACTTGGTTAAAAGAGACCTGAGAGTGATTTGCATGAAGGGGAAATTAAAGCCATTGGATTAGCAAAGGTCAAGAAATACCCAAGTCTAATTTGAGAAGGGCCAAGGACAGAGCCTGTGTGTTAGGTATAAGAGAACTGGGAGAATACAGACTTGCATAGGCCAACCGAAAAGAGGTTTCAGGGAAGGATTAACACGTGGTGGCAATTGCTGCAGAAAGGTTAGAGACATGGGAGCTGAAGAAAAGCCATGGGATTTGGCTACTAGGAAATCATTGATGACCTTTGAGAAAACAGCAGTTTTGGGGAGGGTTTGAATGAAATGTTTTCAAGTAGAAGTTAGGAGGCAGTATTTTTGAACGGCCAGTTTTGACCAATTTTGAAGATGAAAAAAAGAGACGGGGGAGGGGGGAGGGATGGTACAGGGGACAATGGAGACAATGCCATGGATGAAATGAAGTCCAGAGATGACAAGTGGTTTCAGATGATGAGAAGAACTAAGTTTTTAGAATAAACATCAGTGGAAATGGAATTCCAGTTTGCAAAGATGAATCTTAATGTCTAATTTATCCTTCACAATCAAGTATCTTATAAACAATTTAGTAGAATAATTGGACATGTCTAGCCTTTGATGAAACAGAAGTTTGCAGTGGGTACTGGTGGCTTCTTTTTAATTTTTTATTTAATACCTCGGTCACCCAATAAATATTTATTTAATACTTAAGATAGCCTAGCAGTGCTGTGGGGATACTGGTACAAAAGTGAGACAGTGCTTGCTGTTGTTCTATTGGAAGACATAGCATGTTTACAGATAAGTAAATACAGGTTGTGTCCAAGAAAAATACAAAATAATGAGGGTTACTAACAATTGGAGGAATCAAGAAAGGCTTTGTGAAGGAAGGTTTTGGCAAGAAAATCCTTTATGTGTTCTTGCCACAGAGACCAAGAAGTTTTGCATGCTCATAAATACTTTGTGACTAGTTCTGGCTTCTAACTTAATTTGCTGTTAGAATATTAGAGGAGGTAGAGGAGCAGACTTGGGAAGATATCATCGAAGGATGAGACATTTGAGTTGGGCTTTTAAGGATTGAGTAGGAATTTAGCAGGCTAAGTTGTTAGAATATTATACCTTAGTGGAATTAAACTTTTTTTTTTACCATAAAGAAGTTTTTTGGGGGGAAAAAAGTGCTGTTTCCATAACAAAATGTTGATTTGATCATAGCTTCTTAGTATGAAATATAAAACTTGTAGAAGCAAATTTTAATTTTTAGTAGTAACTAATGGTTGGTAACCAAGGCATAGCTTATTAGGTAAAGAAACTAAATAGCTTATTTTGTTCGCATTTTTAATTGCACTTTGACTTCTAGAACCGTAGACATCCCCTTTTCCAACTGCCTCATTGGGGAAACAGGTAAGTAGTTTGCCCATGGCCACATACATAATTTTGTGTTCCTTCTGTTATACTAGATTGCTCTTCCTGTATTGACAAATGTGTCAATCAGGGTAACTGAGCAAATAAATTAATTTTTTTTTCTTTGTAGCTCAATACACAACAGATATCAGTACTAAGATGAACGATGGCACCATGACACAGATACGCCTAGAACTTGTAGTATATGTCCTTTGTGACTTGAAATTGAGACTGAAAGCAGTCTGTTCAATGAGTTGACTTAGCATTTTTGGAGTCAAGCAGGAGTTTCTTGTTTTTAGGAGCCCAAAAGAACTGAGTACTAATGTGCAATGTAATAGATCAAGTGCTAGATTAGAAGTCAGAGACCTGGGTTCTGGTTCTCACTTTGACACTTATATCAGCTATGTGATTGAGCAATTCTTTTCAACCTCTTGAGCCTGTTTCCTTATCTTTAAAATAAGGCTGACGTAATAACCCTCCTCCCTCACAAAATTGTTACAAAGATCAGATGAGATCATGCATGTGAAAGTACTTTAAAGTATTACACAGATGTAAGATATTGTAATGGGTAAGCTTAATGGAAAAAAGTATACATACTTACGGGACTTGTACAGCCTTTATCTAAGAGGCAAGTCAGAAGACATAAAGTGAGTATTTTTTCAAGGTGCTGGTATAGTAAAGGACAGATAAAACAAACGTACTAGAATTTGGGGAAATGTCAACATTTTCTTTAAAAAATAAATTTCCCTCTTTGATTTGATTTGATTTTTTCTTGTAGTGCATCACATGTGATAGTCTCTCTAGTAGAAGATTATCCAGACTATATGATCATAAATCTTGACAAGGTAAGATTTATAAAAAATGTACTTGCACAGTGTAACAAGTAATGCCGAAATATAGTTCAATTTCAAAATTGTATTGTAATATTGTTACCTTACCATGAAGAGATATCATAATTTATGGTTAATAATTTTAATAAATAGATAATGCAGTATTCAATTGTAAAATGAATAGAAAATCCTGTAATTATTTATAACATGCACTGGGGGGGATAACAGGTACTTAGGAAATATAACAGAACCTCTCAGAAAACATAGCATATTGGGACAGTCCTCTGGAATAGAGGGAGAACATGTATAAGAAACAGATATGGGTTGTGATTTGCATCCAGGGAGGCATTACTATGTCACTTAGACCTCAGATCCGTTAAGTATGAATTACATCACTCTCTTTATCTTGACAATGTTTCTGCTTAAGTGACAACTATCCCCCAAATCAGCTTGACTTATGTAGTAAGAACTAGCCTCATAAAGTGATTCAATAGAAGGAAGTCAAGTTTTCCCTTTATGTTCAGAGAAAAAGGCTGTAACTGGAAGTAGCACGGTTATGGTGGTCATTCAAAACCAAAAACACCACCACCACCTTAGATCACAAAGATTTTTATTGAGACTTGAATGAGCTAACAACTGCTGATGTAAGAGGATGCTGGCCATTAAGGGATGTAGGCAGTCATAGAGACCTTATTCATTATCTAGTTCAGCATCTTTATTTTACAAATTAAGAAACTGAGGCCCAGGGAGGTTCAGTGACTTGTCCAAGGCCAAGCACATACTCAGTAGAAGAACTGGATTTGAACTGTGGTTTTAAAATTCTAAATCCAGTGCTCTTCCCATTATATCTTGCTGCTACCTTAAAGTTTAAAGTAGCTACAACTGATCCTACTATAGTTATCAAAATTAATTGATAAAGTGACAGTTCTATAGTGAAAATTAATAGTGCTTTATAATGACTTTGTTGCTTTTCTCCTTTTAAGCTGGACTACTGTGCAAGCCTGAAGAACCTTGAAACCATTTCTAATAAACAAAACTACAAGTTTATAGAGGTATGGCATCTTTCTTATTACTGTTTTTATGTATTTTGTTTAAAATCTGATTAGTCATGAGAGGAAAAGAAAGATGTAAACTGGCATTGAGGAAACAAATTGTCATCATTTGTAGATGGCATGATAACTCACTTAGAAAATGTCCAGGGGTAAGCAGAGAAACTAATCAAGGTGATTTAATAGCTTCAGCAAAGCATTAGGATACTTAAAAAAAAAAAATAGCATTTCTATGAAGTACTAATGAAATCCAGGTGGAAGTTATGAAGAAATTTCATTTAAAATACTAATAAAATGCATAAAACATTTGGTTATTAACCTCCCAAGACACATTCAGGACTTCTATAAATACAAAACTCTTTACAAAAATACTGGAAAACTTAAAATATTGGTGAATTATTCATTGCTTGTGGTTGGATTACATGAATAAATACAAAGGATAGTACTGCCCAAGTTAGAGATTTAGTATTATAACAGTCATTCTAATAAGGTGTTGCTTTATAGACGTAGATAAAATGATTTTTAAATAATCGTTCAGAGAAGCAAAAGATCTAGATTTTCAGGATTGAAGGTGGTATAGCACTGTCATATTGTAAAACTCTATTATAAAACAGTTATCCTCAGAATTATTTGGTGCTGATTTTGAAGAACTGAAAAGTAGATAAGTGAAACAAAAAAGACAAGCAAGACCCAAAAACATCAAACATAACACAGTTAATTAAAAAGTGTTTTTTATTGAAGACAGTTCCTTGGTAACTCTTTTAAAAGAGCTACCAAAAAGTTTAATTTATTTTTAAATACATTTTTGAATTAACAATGAGTTAAAAACAAAGTAAAAATTAATTTTGAAAAATTACACTACTTTAATACTACTATAATTTTTCCCAATTCTCCAAAATGTTTTAAAATTGGTAATTGTTCTTTAAGCTTTAAGACTTTTCTGTGCACTTGGGCTGGCCTTATCTGCCAATTTACAAATGAGTCAAACCATTTGCAAACAGGCTAATTTATGCACATCGGCCTTAACAGAATGGTGCTGTGGATCCCAAAGTGAAAGCAATTATACTATTTGTATCACTTATTAAGGAAAAAGTGACAAAAAGCATCTATGAAAAGGTCATAATTGATTCTGAAAAAGTATATATCTCCTCCGATAGAATGTAAACGCCTTGTGTGAAGAACTGTTTTATTTCTGGTTTTGTATCCCTAACACCTAACAGAGTGCTTAAGAAATGTTTATTGAGGAAGTGATTATCTGCATGGAGGATCCTTTGGAAGCTTACTGTGTTAAATGGGGTAAGATGCTGACTTAAGCCCCGACCACCACCCTTTTTTTTTGGCCAAACTACTTTCCAATTTTCCTAACGGTTTTCGTCCGGCAGAAGTCCTTGCCTTAGTGGTCTGAATTCTTTTAAAAGAGTTACCAAGGAACTGTCTTCAATAAAAAACACTTTTTAATTAACTGTGTTATTTGTAATGGCTTGAATCCATCTGTTTTCTCTTAACCTTAACCTATCTACCTACATAGAGTGAGCTAGACTGAACAGGTTCTAAGGTCCTGTGTATCTATGAAGACAGGCTGGTTCATTTACAAAATAAGGACTGCTTCTGGATGAGGGTCAAGTATGTGAGGGTTTTTTTGCCTCCAAGAAGTCAGAATGTAACAGTGGAAATGTATGCACCTTTAAATTTCTTCTTGGTTCTTACAATTACTGAATTATATTTTTAGCAGAATAAAAGCTTCTTTGAGACCATATACTCATAGATTCATCACTGGGTCAAGCTGCTTACGGTTATCAAATCCAGCTCCCTTATTTTATAGATAAGAAAACTGAGGCCGCGATTGAAATACTTGCCCACAGTTGCATAATTAAAAGTTTCTGAGGCAGGATTCAAACCCAAGTCTGATTAAGTCCAAGTGTAGTACTTAATCTCTACCTCTCAGGAGAGGGATTTGCTTTTTATATAATAGGCCCTTAGTGTAAGCATTTTTAAATTGTTCACAGGATTGGAAAAGAAACTTTCTCATTTTACATTGACTATGAATGGTAGACATTTGTAGAGATTTCTCTATACCTGAACACAATTGAATGTCCCTTTAGTATGCCTGCAGGGACCCTAAGGGCCCCATTTCCTTCTCCAAGACCCCTTTGCTGCCTTAGAGAGGTTGCCTGACACATCCAAAATTCTCTTCACCTAATGCAGTTGTTTCCTTCAGCTTTCCTTCAGCTGGTAAGCTCTTGATTCTACATTTAGATTATTTATTAAAATGTTAGGTTTCGCGTCAGATAAATTCAAAATTTTGATAATCTGGATTTTTAGCTATTCTGGAACCCATCGTTTATTTTAACATTGTTCCTATGGAACTTCCTTTAATGTTTATTAGAGAACATTAACATTCTGGGAGAGGCCTCCTAGCCAGCATTTAAAGCTTAATGATTTAATTTACACACAGTTCTAATAACTTTAATTATCTGATTCCTCTGGAGACAGTAGCTTGGAAAGCAGCAAATTAGAAGAAGAAAGGCTGCAAGGGGCATGCCATTGCAGCAGAAGCTATAACGCTAAGGGGACAAAAGAAAAAAACTTTATTGAAGCAATAATTGATACATTCATTATGGACCTGAGTCATTAAGAAAAAGAGAAATTATATTTATTGTACTCTTTAAGAAAACAAGGAAATCATAATACATTTCAGAAAGATTTCTATTTTAAAAGCTTAAAATATTTGACTTAAGAGATATTCATTTACCTTGAATAGTCATTAATGTGGAATATTTAATTCCCCAGTCTTTACTGTACTTTGTTGTTTTGGTTGTGACTTTGATGTCTACCAGCTCTGTTGATGTTATATGTAAATTCAACTTTTTCCTATAGTTTTTATTTTTTCCATGTTAAAAGTGATTGTGGTGTTGATGCTTAGGAACTTATTTCTCTCTTTGTTTTCTTATTTAGGGTGACATTTGTGAACCTCACTTCATAAAATGGCTTTTTGAAACTGAGAAGGTAGATATAGTACTACATTTTGCAGCTCAAACACATGTAGGTGAGCATTGTTATATGTAATGATTGACACATTAAGCTTTCTCAAAAAATAGTCTATTCACTATTTTTTTTTCTATTTGTTTTGTCCTTTTTTACTATGTTATTTGTCATTTGTATCCTGACAGCTTCCGAAAAAGAGTTCAACATTAATCACTAAGTATTTATTAAAGTCCTCTTAAGTAATAAACTCTCTGCTAGACACTGGAGATAAAAGTACAAAGAATGAAACAATCCCTGCTTCCAGGAAGCTTATAGTGAAATGAGGGAGAGAAGTACATATAAAAATACATACAGCATGTATGTAAAAAACCAAATTCAAATAAATATGATAGCTACAAAATAGTTTGGGAATGAGGACACTGTTAGTTGTGAGAATCTGGAAGGGCTTTAGGCAGAGGATGGTGCTTTAGCTGAGTCCTAAACACCTCTGTAAAATGTTGGCAAGAAGGGAGTAAATTTGCAGGCATGTAGGACAACTAATGCAGAGGTTACCAAGAGGGAGAATGTAAGGAGAAAACAAAAATGGGAAATAGACTTTCACATGGAAAAGGTGTAGTCATGTCACTTTTGTAAAGTTCAGCAGATTTTCAGATAATCTTTATTTTAAATCCATATTTAAAGAAATTTCTAATACTAGTATTGTGAGAGAAAAAAAAACAACCATTTCCTCAATATTTTCTCTAGAACATAGCAATGAAGGGCTAGAATTTTGATTTAAAAAAAAACTCTTAAAAGTTAATGTGTATCGTTGATGTTGATATACTTGTGCTAATATCTTTTATGTTTTATTCAAGCAATAAATATTCCTTCCTAAAACAGTACGAGGTACTGTGTGAGGTATAGAAGTATGAAACAAATTCTCTTTCCATTCTAATATGGTCTTTCAGATCATCAAATTTTAGAAGGCAGGGACTTTGTAGGCACAAAGTCCTTTAGACCCTTATTATATACCTTAGATGATAAATAGGAGGAATTAAAACTTTGTAATACTATGGCAATTTATTCTGTTTTTAAATTTTGAGATTAGATTGTTGTTGGTAAGTCTTCCTAGAAAGAATACAGTTTTCATGTCATAATTATTTTTGTTAGTATTTTTAAAAGCTTGAACATAATGTTTAAAGAAATAAGGGATTGAATATAATAAAATATTGTTGCCTCCTGTATAAAGTTTAAAACCAAAATCCACTTGGAATGAAATTTGGCTGTAACTTTGTGTCAGCCCATTATAAAGACACCCACCCAGCACAACACTGTTCCCTGGTGTATACAGTCTCCTCAATGATTTTGTCCTGTTCAGTCAACCCTTGACCCTACCTTGGGTCACCCCGTTTCCCCACCTTTCTTTCTAAGGCTGCCCTAGCTGCCCTATCCCTATGTCTGAGGGTCTCTGGCCAAATAATCCTCCATTCCCTGTGTCCAGCACAGTTTAGTGCATAATAGATGCTAAATAAACTTAACTCAACCTCTTAACTTAACCACACCCAGAAACTCCTAATCCCATCCCTGGCTCAGAGCTCTTTTCAACTTTTATTAGTGTCTTCTCACCCCCCAAACCCCCACTGTTCATATTTGTCCACTTCCTGCCCCCATCCCCACCCTCCCAAAGTCACAGCAGTTAATGGAGTGCTGGATGTGGATTCAGGAAGACCCAAGTTCAAATCCAGCCTCAGCCATTAGCTAGCTATGTGACCCTGGGCAAGTCACTTAAACTCTGTCTTCCTTAGTTTCCTCAATCTGTAAAAGTGGGAGTAATGAAATCACTCCCAAGCCCCAGGGTTATTGTAAGGATCAAATGAGATAATATTTGTAAAACACTTTGCAAACTTTAAAGTGCTATATAAATGCTAGCTGTTATTGTTATTATCATTAAAGTCATGTTTTTCTGGAATCGGTAATTAATAATTTGTCATGTAGGCCTCCAGAAAGCTACCTCAGATGCTAGGCATTTGTTGGGTCAGCATCTATATAAAACCATAGCTCATGAACCTTCACTGGTGCATTTCCTTTTATTATACCAAACAGGACACTTTATTGTAGAGCAAAAGACACTCAATCAAATTAACAAGATAAATTACCAGATAAATCCTCCATACAGACAAGAGTCTCCTACAGATTACCACATTACCAGTGGGGAAGAGAACAGGCATGAAGGGGCACGTACATAGGGAATGGGATCAGATGGCACATGTAAAAGGCACACGTGTTGTGAGGGTACATAGTGCTTGAAAAAGTTCTGGTCTCTTGTTGGGGTGGATCCTCTGCTGTTCTGGTATATCTGTCTGAGTGCTCTCCTCTGTGTCTGTCTCCATTGTCTTGCCTGCTATTGTTGAACAACAACTGCTGCTCTCTGGTGCCATTAGCTGCTCTTCTGGTGTAATGCCACTTCTTCTAGAAAGTGGGAACAATCTGACAGCTCTTAGCTTTAAGCCCCAGTGCCATCCTTATGTCCTTTGTGATGTTGACCCAGCTGCCTGAACTCTGCTTCTAGCTAGTAAAAGCCCTTATGCATTTAAAAAATCTGTCTTTTTAAAAACATTTGGTCGCTTCAGCTGTCCTTTGTATCTTTCAGTCCATCTCCTAGCTGAGTTAAGGGTAGAAAATTCATTTTAATTCCTGTCATTCCCTGGTTCCCTTATATCATTTCTTTTAGCAAAACTTCAGAGGAACTGGTTGAAGCTGTAGGAATCATCATCCTTGTTTTTCATGTAAATCTCTTGGGCTAGGAATACCAAAAGGACTAGAGGGTTTTCCTTTACTTTCTCCCATATAGTAGTGGTAATAGTATACCATAGTATATAGAGAGGGTCATTATATATGGATTTTTATTTGTAAAAATTGTTAAAATAGTGATTGAAGAGAATTTCTCTTAATAGATTTTTTTGACTATTCTTAGGTCTGAATCTACCATTTCACTGTTTATAGTCTCCCACGTGTGATTCTCCCTCTTTCCTTTTAATTGCTAGAAATTATAATGTAAGACTTTATGTTCTGGCTCACTCAGTCTGTTCTGTATTAAGTTCTGAATGTCATATGATTTTGGTTTGTTGTTTTTTTTTTAAGATCTTTCATTTGTCCATGCCTTGGAGTTTACTTATGTCAATGTTTATGGTACCCATGTGTTGGTGAGTGCTGCTTATGAAGCCAGAGTAGAGAAATTCATTTATGTGAGCACTGATGAAGTATATGGAGGTAGCCTTGATGAGGTGAGTTTGGAAAACTTTTGTATTTCATCTGCTTTATTTTAAACTTTTTAAGGATAAACTTTTAAAAATACTCACATTTCTCATGCTGTGAAGTTTAAAAAAAGTGGATGTAAAAAGCATGGAATTTGATAAAAATTGACATTTATAAAATCCAACTTATTTCTTTATTAGGAATGCCTATTTTGGCAGTTATATATTTGTTAGATTGGATGGAAGAGAGGCTGCAAATAGGAAGACCAAATGAGTGGTTGCTTTTATATTCATTAGATCATGGATTTAGAGCTGGAAGAAACCTAAAAAGGACAGCTATTAAGACATTTTACAAATGAGGAAGTAGATCCAGAGAGGTTAGATCACTCACCCAGAGACTCACAGGGAGTAATGTGGCCAAGCTGGGAACTTGAACCAAGATCCTGTGGTTTCACGTCCGGTATTCCTTCCACTGGCCCATGCCATCTTTGTTTTAGCATGTAATGGGCATTCTGTGAACATGTCATAGACACAAAGCAGGAGGAGAGCTGATACAGGCAGAAATGGGATCTGACAGAAAGATCTCGGTGGGCAAGAACAGCTGTCCATAATGTGTAAGGCGAAATATATCTGGATAAATATAAATTAGTCTTGAAAAGTACTTGAATTTTAGTTGATTCCAAGCTTAAAATGAGCCAGCATTGTGATATAGGTGCTAAAAATGCTATTATGACTTCAGGCTACATCAGTAGGAATACAGGGTTTAGATCATGAAGAATATTAAGCCCATTGTACTCTGCACCGGTCAGACCACAAGTAGAATATTTCATGGGCGCATTTTAAGTGTCATTTACAAGCTGGAATACATCCGAAAGAAAAGAATGAGTGTATTGAGGGAACTTGGACTTGAAACCATGTCAATTGAAGTAACTGGCAATGTTTAGACTGAAAAAAGGAAGAATTTGGAGGAGCAAAGTAAACATTTTCACATATTAGGCTATGATAATTAGGTTTTATTTCTCTGTGGCTTCAGAGGGCAAAACTAGACTCAATGAATTGAAATGACAAGAAAGCAGATTTTTGACTCTAAAGAGAACTTTCAAACAGACGTCTTTAGTGAGGAAATGAACAACTTCCTTAAGGTAGTGAACTCCTAGTGGTCAAGCAGCAACTAGATATCCACTTATTGGAAATGTGTATTAGGGATTTATGCATCAGGTCTAGATACAGGGGTGGGCCACATGTGGCCTCGAGGTTGAAGGTTCTCTACCCCTGTATTAGATAATCTAAGTGCCTTCCATTCTGAGATTTTATGTGCCTGTGATCCTTATGCAGTGTATTAAGTTTTTCTTTCTCAAATGGAGGGCAACAATCTAAAAGTTTTACTAATAAAATATCGACATGATTTTGTAACATCTTGCTGAGTTGTCAGGTTTTATAGGCAAATAATTACTCCTAATTTCTTTGCAAAGTGTGATGATGAGAGCCTGGAGAAGATCATGCTGTTATCACTGTTATCTGTCATGTTGTACTCTATTATATATTTTACAAGAATACTGTTTTTAAATGTTGCAGTTTTAAACATTTGCCATAGTCTGAGAGGTAGCTTGCCATAATGGTTAGAAAAGCTGATCTTGGAGTTAGGAAAACCTGGGTTCCAATTCTGCCTTTGACTAATATTGGCTTTATGGCACTGGGCAAGCCACCTAACTTCTTAGTGCTCTAAAGCAACTCTCTAAGACCCTAAGTTGCAGAGAAGGTGCTAGTCTACATCAGAAATCCTAGTGAAATCATAGGTTAGTCCCTGTCCATACTATAATTTATCATTGAACAAGAGCTAAAAGTATCTTGTTTCAATCCAATTAAGATAAGCTTATCTATTTCTTTAATGTGATGAACATGTCAAGTTTGTGATGTGCTTCCTCATTCTCTTGGATAGACATTATATATGCTAAAAGCTCCTTAATATTCTTTTTTAAAATTAGGAATTTGATGAGTCTTCACCAAAACAACCTACAAATCCTTATGCATCATCTAAAGCAGCTGCAGAATGTTTTGTACAGTCTTACTGGGAACAGTATAAGGTAAGTGTTCGTTTTAGAGATTTATGAAATAATCTGCAATAGCAACCATTAATCTTTCACTTGTAGATAAGGAGGTAGGTGCTGAGTAAAGTTATGTGTTAAGTTATAAAAAAGAAGAAACAATTCTCTTATTTTTTTAGGTAGATAAACTAGCCACCACATGCTCTTTTATATGTCAATATTTAAATCACAAACTACTTATTTTATTAATACATTAGAAATAGAATTTGATAAATTAGGAGAAGATGATGTTGCAAGTACATTGGCACACTTATGCTATTGAGAAAGTGAAAGTGCTTTAAAAAACAGATATGTAGACATGTCAGTGCTTTCTAAAAGTATGTTCATTTTATCCTGGTTTAGAACTGATTGATTAGTAAACCTGACATGGCATTTTAAAAGATTGAAATAAAAGAACAGCACTCATCTGATTGGCCATTAACCTCTCAGATTAAATGCCATATGAAAAATAGGAAATACTGACCATTTATGAAGTAGGTATGATATTTTACTTTTCAAAATTTTAGTACCTACAAGGAAAGGAGCTGGAACTAATAAGTCCTCATAGGGTGAGGAAGAAAAAAAAGGTGCCTGCTTCTTTCCCTATTGGGATTCCATGGATTGAGCAAGTCAGGAGAAAGGCAGGAAATAATGTTAATGTTCATGTCTGTGCTCTTGGTTCCCTATAAAGAGAGTGGATTGCTCACAATTGTTTTGTGACTCTTGTTGGCTGCGAAACACGCTTCCATCCAGTTCACAGTACTATTATAATTTCCAAAGGGAGATGATATTGCTATAGGGACGTAAGTTTGTATTATTTACTCTAACTACCCAAGTTCTCTTGCATTTTAAATTTTTCAGTGTTTTACATGGGAGGGTGAGGGGAATTAGGTATTAAGTCCCACTCCCTGCCTCCTTTCCCCCAACAGAAGAAATCATAGGCAAGCAGGACAGCTTTGAAAGTTACGTATTGAATATGTGTAAAAAGAAAAGCGAGCCCTAGGTTATAGAAATTTGGTCCTTTCCTACAACTTAATGTGGAAATGCTTGTTTTTTTAAATGTTTAAGTTCAGAATAAGAATAAAATGAAATGAAAACCCAAAAAAGTTAAAAAAAAATGGAAAGAAAAAAGACAGAACCAGAAGATTAGATTATTTATTAACTACAATCATATTAAAAAAAAAAGTGAATGAGAATAAAAAGATAAAGAATCCTGATTGGAATTTAATCTGTTATGTGTTGAATTTTACTATGCACTTAACTGTGCAATATAGTTGTTTTCATTTTTTTTAACGTTGTTTTCAATAAAAACATTTAAAGGGGAAAAAAAAAGAAAATGAGGTCCTTTGTTCATTACTTATTGTCCAGTGGATGGAGAATAGGAGAAAAAAACCATAACATGCTTTTACATATATCATCTCGTATTAAGAACCCTGTGAGGTAGGTACTAGAGATGTTATTATTCCCATTTTACAGATGAGGGCATGAAGCTCAGAGAATTTAAATGGTTTGCCTGAGGTCACCAGAACCAGAATCTCTCTAAATAGGGATTCTAACTTGGGTGTTTCTAATTCTGTCTTTAGTACTCTACCTAGTGTGCCTTTTAACTGCCTTTTATAGTAAAAACAGCATTCTTAAAAACATCACTGTCATTTCCTATGTCTCACTAGAACTTTCCCTTGTAACAAATAAATATTGTTTAATATCGATCATGTCCAAAAACATATCCCTCATTTTGCATTTCTGGTTCACTACCTCTCTGCATTACGAATGCTTCACTATCACCATCTTAAAGTCGTGATTGATCACTGTATTGTTCAGAGTTCTCAAGTCTTTCAGTGTTGTTTACATTTACAAAATTGTAGGTCATTATAGAAATTGTTTTCTTGGTTTTGCTTATTTTACTCTCTAGGTTCACAAAAGTTTTCACAAATTACTCAGGATTCTTCATTCAGTCACTTCTTAAGACACAGTAATGTTCTGCTACATTTATATCCACCATTGTTCATCTTTTCTGCAGTTGATGGGCACCTACTTTTTTTTCTTCCGGTTCTTTGTAATTTACCACCAGCATTCTTTCTTCTCTGCCCTCTGGCCTTTATTATCTGGATTGTAAGATGTACTTTTTATATGTTTAAGGAAGAATTGCAGTCAAATGTTTTAGAATAAGTAACAGTTTTTGTTTCCCTTTTTTTTCCTCGAAAAGGAGATTTGTATAGCACATGTAAAGATCTAACTTAGAGTTTAAAAGCTTATCCTTACCACAATTCTAGAGGTACAGACGGTGTGATGTGGTAGAACACTGGTGTGAAACTAAAGTAGAAATAGGTCCTTGTAACTACAGAGTGATTTAGAACACCACAAATTAACAAGATCTGTTTTGTATTGTATTTTATTTATTTTGTTAAACATTTCCTAATGACATTTTAATCTGGTTGGAGGGCTGGCTTTGTAGTAGATCATTGCTTTTTGGAGTCAGACTAGGCTCAAATCTGAACTTTGCTATTTCCTTGCCTGGGTGACCTCCGGCAGGTCACTTAACGTCAGTCTAAATTTCCTTTTTGTCACTTTATGCATTAAATAATTTGTGATATGCAAGGAGATTGAGGTAAAATCAGATACCTTTAAAAATCATACATAACTTTATAAAAAAAAAAGCCTTAAGCTTACAGTACCTCTTTAATAACTATCTTTTATACTTTGAAGTTTCCAGTTGTTATCACAAGGAGCAGTAATGTTTATGGACCACATCAATATCCAGAAAAGGTAAGTTTTAAGTTCCAGTTGACATATTTCCAGCAATGGTTTTGCTTTTCAGTGTGAAAAATGAATTGTTTGTAACTTTGGTCAGTCCATGTCCAGACCTCTATCCAGAAGTCATTTAACCTACCTCTTTGCCTTCTTACCAACATTAGCATCTTGATACCAGTCAGGATTTGGAAAAAAAAATTTAAAGCCTAGGTTTAAGTAAGTTTAGACAGTGATATCTGAGACTTAAACACAAATTAATTGTAATGCCATTGCCATATTCTTTTTTTTGTTGTTTGTTTGTTTTTTGTTTTTTGCTAGGCAATGGGGTTAAGTGACTTGCCCAGGGTCACACAGCTAGTAAGTGTCAAGTGTCTGAGGTCGGATTTGAACTTAGGTCCTCCTGACTCCAGGGCCGGTGATCTATCCACTACACCACCTAGCTGCCCTGCCATTGCCATATTCTTGACAGACGTAATGAGAGGACGTGTAATTGAAATGCTAAGAGCCAGTCTCTGCTTTCTAGTTCAAGGATCCTAAGTAGGGTCTGAGCTGCCTACCCCTGAAGTTTCTCCATTTCTTACATGGTTGTATTGGCCGTATTGCAAATAAGATCATGCCACGTTAGACAGAGATTAAAGTCTTGCTTTAGCATATTTTGTATGATATAAAATTTCAGGTGGTGTGGCAGTCATTAGAAAATAGCAATTTTCTTCTCTTGCCCTGTATGTTATCATTCTTCAACTTGTTATAAAGTCAGAAATAAAATTTTGATATAAGAAATCATGTTTATGGGTAACATCCTGTGAAATAATTTATCTTGAATTTTTAAGAAACTTTTTGTTTTGGGTTTGTTTTTGTCTTTTGTCCATCAAAAAATTGGACACGTTAGAGGGTATGATATATCAGCTATCTGTTATCTGGGACAGGCTAACATATGATATAAAGTAGTCTTAAGAATTCTCTGAGTGCCTTTTCGCGGACTTCTCACATTAAATAAAACCAGACCACTAAAGTAGGCTCATCAAATACACATTTTTAGTGATGAAGCAGATTTTGCATAATGCTGTTAATCTTCTGCAAGGGCATCATAACAACAGCTAGTCTTAGGGAAAAGTAAAGTAAATGTGAATGTGACCTAATTACTTCTGCAATCAGAAATAATGTTAAATATTCTCTTTAGGTTATTCCAAAATTTATATCTTTATTGCAACACAACAGAAAATGGTACGTAATCTTCCCTTTTTTTTCTCCCCCTCTCCACCCCCCATTTTTGGCATATATTGTGTAATGTAATGAATATAATGTATATTGATAGTAGTTGCCACTAATTACCATTGTCCCTTGTTATTTTTCTAATGGGAACTAATGAATCAACTATAATTTATTGGGTTAAATTTGTTGATCTATAATATCAGAATTTGGCTGTCTCTTTGCATGTAACTTAAATTTGTGTTCACACTGTAGATAGAACTGGATGAATTTGCAGAATACATTTCCAATATGAAAGAGTAGTTCTCAAGGGGCATATTTTCCCAAAGGGAGCATCCTAGAATCCTGGTGTTACGTTAGAAAACCTAAGATAACCATTTAGGACTGATAAGTTCACATTGGGAATAGTCCTCTTAACACTATGGTATCTGTTAGGTCCCTGGCTTCTTTCTTAATATAGGGAACATAAGAAAATGTTTAGTGCCCCTATATATCAGCATCCAGGAACGTTTCTGCTACTTTTATAGTAAAAGTGTTCATTTGGTTATGATACATGGCTGAATTTTGTTTAATCTTTTTAGTTGCATTCATGGTTCAGGACTCCAAAAAAGAAATTTCCTTTATGCTGCTGATGTAGTAGAAGCTTTTCTCACTGTTCTAAAGAAAGGGAAACCAGGTGAAATTTATAACATAGGAACCAATTTTGAGATGTCAATTGCACAACTTGCCAAAGAATTGATACAATTGGTAAGTATACATAATAAAAAAACACAATTTTTATGGTTGAATTTGACTTACTGGAATTAGTTATATAAAAATGAGCACTTGAATAAACTGTCTGAAAGTATATTTATAGAAGATAGAATAATCATAATAGGTAATAAAGTCATACCTTTGTATTACATAAGCTTATTTGTGAATGTTGGTATTAAGGATAATAGGGAGAAATTGAGTTAAAAACAAAAGCCGATGAAATCCTTTCTCTCCTTCCATTTAAAAAAAAAAAAAGACAATCTTTTGTACTTGAATGAAAGACTAGTTTAAAAAGCAATGTGTCTGTCTGATTTTGCTACAACCGACCCTTCTCAGGGTTTGTAATGAATGATTCAGATGTTCTGTATTATGGATGTACCTCCTTTTTTGTTTTTCTTTTTGAAATGTGTTCTTTTTCAAATTAATTTCAAAATTAATCATGTTTTAAGTTCTTGTGTTATATTTTGACTTAAATCATTCTCCTCTTTGGCAGATCAAAGAGACCAATTCAGAGTCTGAAATGGAAAATTGGGTTGATTATGTTGATGATAGGTAAGAAATGGGTTGAAATACTGGTAAAGGGTTATAAAGTGTTCAGTATTTGTAAAGTCCTAAAACTTTAGGATTTAAATCATCTAATTTCTTTTTAAGTAGAACAACATCGAAATCATCCCAAGTAAATGAAATTTTGTCTGATTCATAAAGATTGGCTTTTCTAAAGGCCATCCCAATTCTTTTTAACTCTCATTTTAAAGACTATTTTACATACAATGATAAAGGGCATGATTTAAGCCCATTTCTTATTATTCTGTATTCAGTCTACACATAAATAGCTCATCATGAGCATCTGTGTACATGAGTCTTAGGTTTATATAAAATAAAATTACTGTTTTCTCATAGGTAAGGGGATAGAACCTGAGCTCCCAGCCCAAGTTTCAAATCTTGTCCCATAGGTAATTGGTGAAATGGAAAGAGCACTCACTCGGTGTTAGAATCAGATGACCAGGCTTCAGTTCCTGGCTCTTCTGTTTTCATGTATGACCTTAAGCCAGCCACTAATCAGTCTCTCTGTGCCTTAGTTTTCTGCTCTGTATAAATGGGAGTTGAACTCCCTAACTCTTAAGATTCCTTCCAACTCTGTGTCTATGATCCTCAGGATTTGCACTGAAGCATAGTACCTATTACCAGTTACTGTTGAACTCTAGGTTATAGATATGGTCCAAGCCCTTAAGAGACACATGCTCAAGTGACCTTTGGAGGTACAAGATTTCAAGGTCTAGGTACCTCAGGGGTCTGATTAGAATTTTGTCATTTCCTTGAGGTGCTTGTATTTTCTACTTCCCATTGCTTACACTTCCTAGGTATGCACTTGGGTAAGTCACTTAATCTCATTTGTGTAAAATGGGGATGGTGATAATACCTTGCAGGGTTGTTTTGAGGATCAAATGAGAAAATATTTGTAAAAAAGAAGTGCTTAACATAGTGCCTGGTACATAGTAGGCACTATAAATGCTTCTTTTCTATCCTTCCCTCCCCTTCATCAGTTCATTGATTTCCTAAGACCTTCCATGTGGGGACCTGCATCCCAGGGTTATGAAATGAATCCCGTAGGCTCCCTGAATCCCAGGGTTATGAAATGAAGGATTATTCTCGTATTGTGTTAGGAGTTATTCTTCTCCTTCTTGCTCACTGTTAGGTAAAAAGCATGTATTGTGTTAGGATACATACTAACTACTGCATGGAAAATGCCAAATAGTTCATCTGGCAAAGGGAAGGAAGATTTTTTTTTCCACCACTGAGTTGGAGTTGAAAGTATAAGACATTAGTTTTGAAGATAGCCAGAGTTGGAGTGGTATGATATGGTAGAATTTGTGTCATTCACGTTTAGGTTGTAACTGAAATAATACAAGAAGAAGGATATATAATTAAAGAAATAATTAAAAATGTATAGGAGAAGAAATTGTGATTTTTAAAGATCCAGTATGGTTTCCTTAGTAGTGAGTCCTGCTAGCAGGGTTGCTAAATGGATAGAACTGGAGAGCTATGGGATGCTATAGGTAAAGTGTACTTAGATTTACCAAAGTTGTTTGGCAAAATATCTCATACCTTTGTGGAAAAGATAAAGAGGTATGATTAGACAGTAATTCAATTAAGTAGGTTTGATTGGTTCAACTTAGAATAGTTGTTAATATTTCAATGTCAGCTTTGCAGGAAGTTTCCAATGCAATGCCTCAGTGCTCAGTGCTTAGCCCTAAACTGTTTAATATTTTTAGTGATAACTTAGATAAAGGAATAGGTGGCATACTATTCAGATTTGCACAAGGCATGAAGTTGAAAGGGATAACTAATATACTGGGTGATAACAGTCAGGTTCCAAAAAGTGCTTGTCAGGCTAAAGCATTTGGATGAATCTTAGATGAAATTCAATAGGGATAATATAAAATCTTAGACTTATATCTAAAAAATCAACTTCACAGGTATAGGGTGGGTGAGGCAGTAGTTTGCCTGAAAAATATCGGTATTTTTAGTGAACTGCAAGTTCAGTATAAGCCAACAGTGTGATGTGGCAGTCAAAATATCAAATGTAATCATGTGCTACATTAAGAGAGGCGTAGCTTCCAGGAATAAGGAACTCATACTCTGCCCTGACCATTCCACATCTAGAGTATTGTGTTTAGTTCTGGGCACCATAGCTTAAGGATATGATAAGCTTAGAAGGTATGTAGAGGAGGGTATCCAGCATGACAAAAGGCCTTGAGTCTTTGTCAAATGAGGAAAGGCTGAAGGAACTGTAGATATTTATTTAACCTGGAGAAGGAAAGACTTGAGATATGATAGGGGTCTTTGAGTATTTCTCCAAACATTGTCTTTCCCCCAGCAACTAGCACTGTATACCTAGTGGGAGTTTAATAAATATTTATTGAATAAATGAATGCCCTTCCATTTAACTGTAACTGTAATTTCTTCAGCTTTCAGCTACAGTTAGGATGTTTTGTGTAGACATGGTTTCATTCCTTTAGTAATACCTCAGATCAATCATTATTAGAAATGTCATATTGTTGGTAAGTGGGTATTAGTAGGTGCTTTAAAACTGAATTGATGCATAGCATCCCATGACTCTTTTTTTATCTCTTCCATCATAGTCACTGTGGTAGTGAAGGATTGAGGAGCATGCATCACCTTAGCAACATTCATTACCTATTGCTTGTCTCTCTAGGGCAGGGATTCTTAACCTTTTTTGTGCTATAAACTTGTTTGACAATCTAATGAAACTTATGGACTCCTTTTCAGAATAGTTTTCCTAAATACATAAAATACATAATTACAATGTACCCCCTGAAATCTATCTACTGACCCTTGGGGAGTCTGTATGCCAGGTTAAGAGCTCCTGCTCTTTTACTTAGGTCCTTGGACAATAAATGCAGTCTTTTGCCTGTAAATAAATGAGTGTACACAGGTAAAATTTGGACCAAAATTTACCTTAAAAATTTTGGTTTAAAAAAAAAAAGACCAAGAACATTCATTAATGGTACTTTAGATTCTGAGTTTGTGGTGGGGTTGTCATGGGCATTTTCCATCATTTAAAGTTATAATTGGTAACTATGTATGAGATTTAAACTTAAATGTCATTTCATTTACTCTCATTTTTTTAGACCTTCCAATGACATGAGATATCCTATGAAATCAGAAAAAATGCATGGTTTGGGATGGAGACCTAAAGTTCCCTGGAAAGAAGGAATAAAGAAAACAAGTATGTTTTAAAATACTTTTTTTTTT